TATGTATGTTGATGTAATGTATGTATGTATGTATGTATGTATGTATGTATGTATGTATGTATGTATGTATGTTGATGTATGTTTGTGTTATGTATGCATGTCAAATTAGCCTATGTATGTATGTTTTCATGTGGATGTATGTATGTGTGCGTATATGTATGTAGGTGCGTATATGTATTATGTATGTCTGTATGTATGAGAATATATATATATATATATATATATATATATATATATATATATATATATATATATATATATATATATATATATATATATATATATATATATATATATATATATATATATATACTCAAATAATGAAGTATTCCAAACAAAACTATGTGTTTTAGCGGTGAATCTGCTCCACACAATAAATGTAGAAAGGTTTAGAGGTGAGCATCTGAGAACAAGCACACTAAAAGCAGGCGATAGCAATAATTGAAATCCCATGCTCTAATATTAGAACACCCCTCCTACCACTCACACTGGATATCGCCAGGGGCGTTGACTCCTATACCACCCTATAAATATTTGTAAAGTATACATCCCTTGTCACGCAATTAGGTGTATCGGGTATATGGGAAGAGCGCCTAGATTTTTTAAGACCATCGGCACTATGTGGGTAATGTGGTCAGCATTACGCCGGCCGTCTTTACGTCCCCAGGGCAGTCATCCTGGTACCCATTTAAGGCTGGGTCGACCTGCGACGCCCCATACCACGATAAAAATCCACGTAGCCATCAGTGGGTTTCGATCCCGGTACGTTGGAATTACGAGTCGGACTCGCAACGCCTAAGTCACGGACGCCGGTATACCTCACCATAGCAACATATAACATCATCTTCTAGAAACAGGGAAAGTTGCAAACAAAGGTTTCAACAAATCTACTTCTCTTTGCCATAGCTGAAACATCTAATAATTACGTAAAATCTACGTTCATGCATTTAATGATTGATTGGCACCTTTCTGTCTTCCCAGACAATATTGCGCTATGAAGAGGCATAGCACTCACAGTCCATGGCGATGGCAAGTGTCAAGAAAAGTCTTCCACAATGATTGCATGGGATTTCAGAACCATTGTTGTCAACATTTATGATAAATCCGTTTTTTCTTTCTCAGACGCTCAGCTCTTATCCTTTCTGCTTTCTTCTCTTCCTTCACTCTCATTCCCTTCCTGATTTGCCCTTTCCACACAACACGGTCCATGGCATTTTGCTCTCATGAGTCCACCTCAATACCTGCATCATTCATGTCCCGTTTGCACACATCTACCTGTCTTTAATTCACCATAACGGATGCCCTTAGGGACTCTGCCATCCTCCATTCTCTAGGTGTGACCCCACCACCTGAGCCTTCGTAGACTGAGCATGGAAACGACTGTTGTAGTACCTGCTCTTTCCAGTACCGCAGTGTTTGTGATTTTGTCCTGCCACTTAAAGCCAAGTATTCTTCTTAGGCATCGCATGTGAAAGCTATTTAGCCGTCTCTCCTGCCGCAAATAGGACGACCACGTTTTACTGCCAAAAAGCAGAGTGCAGAGAACACAAGCCTGATAGACAAGGGTTTTGTTCATACATTTAAAATAAAAATATTACCCAGGTAATGATGTATATTCCATGCAGCACAATGCCGTTTATAACAAACTCAGTCACAAGTGCTCCGCTGTCTACCACCGCCATTGCTGATAGATAAGGAACCGAAGGCACTCTCCTGAGACGAGTTCTTGTGAATACTAAATAGGCTAAAATATTGGACAGAAGACCCACTGCCACCAGCAGTGGACACGTATAGAAGCTGAGTTTGATGATAAACATCGCTATGTTAGACCGTGGCGGTTGATAGAACTCTCTGGACACTTTAGTAATGGTTCCGTTGGCCAAGACATGTTGTGTTTCATTTTCGCATTCTTTGGTTTTGAGGAAACTGTTTAGGTCATCATATCTGCTGATACTAAAGAATAAGGATGCATTGTATGTAGAGAGGAAATTTTCGTCAAAGACTTCCGAGAAGTTTACCGATGTCATTATGAATAGTTGGTTAATCTTACGATAGGTTTTAAATATCGAAGTTAGTATGGCCAGAGACTTCAGAGAACTGTAACGTTGTCATTGTGGAAATTTGGTTGATATTTTGATGTGTTGAATGTTTCTGGCAAATTCTTGTCAAAAAGCGCCGAGAAGTCTCATGATGTCATTTTGATTATATGGTTAAGTTTAAGATGTGTTGTAGGTTGAGTTGTAGGCATCGTGGACAAAATCCACCGAGCATTTTAATGCTGCCATTGTGTATCTGCTGATGAATCTTTCGTAGGAAGATGCGTATAGTCGCATAAATCAGAGCAGTTTCACATTGTCATTATGAGCATCTAGTCACTTTTCTGACGTGATGTTTGTTGCGTGGCTACTCGCTGATACCACAAAAAAGTAAGACGTTTTGTGTGTGTGTGTGTGTGTGTGTGTGTGTGTGTGAGGATCTTCCACTGTGTCGAACGTAAGGAGATAAGTATCGTCCAACAATCCTAGATACGTATCGTCCAACAATCCTAGACGTTTAAATGTGTCATCAAGTGTAACAATGTAAGTATCGTCGAAGAAATCGACAGGCTAAACATTGTCAGTTCGAACAACTATTTAACTGTGTGATATGTTGTATGTAGCGAAGTCTATTTCGAAAACCTAGTTAAAATTTTGAGATACTGTTGAATCCTTCCAGAAGTTTATAATCTTTCTTATGAAAATCTAGATAATCTTCTGCTGCGTTTTATATCCAAGATGCGAACGAATTAACGAACCAGTGGACGAGAAATATATTACAACAAAACAAAAGTCTGCTTAAATTCCATTGTGTTTGTTACGTGTTTCACGATGTTGCAGTTCTTTGAGCGATACAAATGATCCTCTTTTCGTAGAACGTTTTGATGATACAACTCTTGCTTCAGAACATTTCACTATTCTTTAGTATGTTCTTTGCTCATGAAGTGAAAACACGAATAACCACTTGCAGCCAGGAAACGTCGATAATAAATTACATCATTTCTTTGTATAACCTTGATGATGATGAAATGACTGTTAAGGTTCTTGACAACTGGTGTTTCGTAATCATGCTTTTCCATATTTTGTGATCTCAGACAACATGTATATGATATGCGTTAAACATTCTTGTGATAGATTCTTTGTATTTGGCATTGCATGCAAATAAGTGTGTCGATTTTCATGACCTGAGTGTAAATTATCCGCCTTCTCTCGGAAACAAATATGTAGAATAGCAATTTGATCAGTGATGTCTGACACGAAGTATGGCAGCTTGATAATTGTGTTTTGTTATAGCCAAGATGAAACTAGATATTTCAACTGTCAATTTTGTTATTTCTCGAACTTACTATTAAAGCAACGTCATATTGCTATTGAAACTCTAGACTCCCGTCTATATTCAGAATACTCGGCGTCATCACTGGTGTTTAACTTATTAATCTATCCACGTTTATCTGATAACTGTTAAATGTGGTAGTAGATTACTATTTTATCAAGTTCGACGTTCTTGTAATTTTATTCTTCCACACAGCTTCAAATGATTTGCTTTAGGCTTTGGTTAGGGCAGGCTAAATTCTGCCTCCTGTATGGCGACTTTCAATTCTTTTTGTTAACATAGAACACAGCTGAAACGCGCAAGTGTATTTCAGTGAGATTCCATATGAATTTATTTCGGGCCTGAGAAACTTAAACGTCTGTCTTGTGTGTACAACATCAGTCTCGTAGATACAACAACAGCCTGGTGGTCCAGAATCCAGCGATGAAACAAAACGTATTGATTTGGCAGAGTTGGCTCTGTGGTTGTAAACCTCAATAAATTTGATCTAGCCACATCTGTTTTATCACATGGTTGCATGTGTCATCAGTACGTGTCACGCGGTATGCTTGGGTGATAATGGTATACTATGATACATGATCGTAGTGGTCACTGATCAGTTCTGCGTTCTTGTCCTGATTATGTTGTCAGGCAAAACTATCCAGGCATTTATTTCTTTGTCCTATCGTTGATCATTCTCTCAACAAGTCTGCCAGTTGCCACAAAGTTTTCCAGGTTATTTATCCTCCCCGTGCTTGAAAATCGTGACTACAGACGTGCAGTGTTACAGATGATTCTACAAATTATGTCTCTTTCTTGAAAAAGGGTCCAATTTGTATTTTTGTTTGGTCGCCCGCCGGTAACTTGTTGGATCTGTTGATAAAACAGATAGTTAAAGTTAGACACTGGCAAAGAGAACTTCTTAACGTACGAAACAATATTACCTTTACATTTGACTGCAGGCCTGGGTTCAAGTCCATACTAAATCGGTATGTATAATGCACCTTGGCTGCAAGAAACCAGAAATGGGTGCCAGGAAAATTTCATGGGAAGTACAGGCGGCAAAAGCAGTGTTGCCTTATCACTCATCAAGTGTTGATTGGTCTATAAAAAATATGCGTCATGTCGCCCAATCATACATAATGTGTTGACTGGTTTATAGAAAAAAGATTAGTTGCGTATCCTTTACATGACGTTGCAGAACAAACCCCAACAGCCCCTGGCCAACAGCTCCTGGCTGTTGTGTGGTTTTTTTAGGTAATTTACGTCTAGTAGTTTGCCATTGCTTTCTGGACGGTTTATAGAAATAAGCGTCTATAATTAAAACCAGACAAGTAACTGCTGCACAGACTGTGAACATTCAGTCAGGGAACGATGTTCCCATTACCACAGAGTCTGACCAAATTCAAAGAGCATCTTATGTCCACACATGATAAAATTCAGTTGAAACAACGACAGGTCCATACTACCATACAATGTGAGTATATTCAGTAAAGAGATGTAAGTATAAATTGCTGTACAGTGGGATAAATTTCCACCTTGGAAGAAAAGATCGCCATTCTCATGGTCTGAGAACTTTCACCTACGGAACGATAGTGACCCAATCTCAGTCAGAGAACGATATGCCCTAATTGCTGTACAGTGTGAGAACACTAAACCCTGGAACGGCTGATACTCATTTCCCTAAGTCTGCTCAGATGTTTCAGTAATGTAACAAAGCTGTAATATTAATTTAATGAAATACAGAAAGACATGCTAAAAAATACAAAACACACATTAACCTCAAATAATAAGAAAATAATACATAAAATAAGAATATAATAAAGATAAAATGATAATAATAGTAATAAACACAGGTCAGATATAATGTATGTCAATTTTCAATGCTGGCCATTAGTCCTTTGTCCTATATGTTATGCACAATGACGTATATTCAATGATACGCGCAGACGGATAACAGTATTGCCGTTCTTGTGTTTTTTGTTAATACATAATCTGCATCGTTAATGGAAATGAGAACAAGCAGCGACCACCACTGTACCACAGGTAATTGAAAGCTGATACGATTACAACGAGATCATATTTCACTGAGGGAAATTCCCTGCGGGACCATATCAAGTGATGACATTTTAACGTGTAACGGCTGATGCCATTAAATAATAGAGAGAGTCATTTGATCAAATGATAGTTTGTAAAATGTCCCGTTAGACCTCCCAGAGACAAACGTTATATATCTCTCCCAAGTTTTCTCTGGAAATTGAAATATAATATTTTACTGCTTTATTTTTATAGCAAAATTTAAATTTTCAGTTATTGTGTTAGAGATATCTAGACGCTGATTAGGTTGTACACGTTGGACACTTGCTTGGCCGAAGGAATCACTAAAACCAGCATCACATATATCGGGAGAATTCTACTAGAAAAAAAAAACTAGATGAAAGAAAAAAGAGGGAGGGAGAGAGAGAGGGGGGAGTCAGAGAGAGAGAGAGGGGGGGGGAGAGAGAGAGAGTGTATGATAATAATAAAGACGATAATGATGACTTTGAAAAAAAAATCATGGAATTATTATTCACGACGATGAATATAATGATGAGGATGATTCGGTGAAGAATAAGGATAATGATGATGCGGATGATGATGACGATACGATGAAAAGTAAGAAGAAGAAACTGATAATAATAAAGACAGAGATGAAAAAAAAAGAAAATGAAAAATAAGACGAAAAGGACGAATGAGAAGGTGAAGAAAAAGAATTGAAAAAAAAAAAAAAAACTAACATAAAGACGAATAAAGCGACGAAGATGACGATGAAGAAGTAGTCGAAGAAGAAATAGACCCAAAAAAAAAAAAAGTGAACGGATATCTAGACATAGGTAAAAAAAAGCTTCTGCTTCAAATGGCACTGTTAAAAAAAAAAAAAAAAGGTGCCATTCAGTAAGCAACAATGCGTCACAGCCAATGTTGTTCACGTATTTTGATTTCTTTATTCGAACACTGCCGAGATGTCTTTCTTATCATAATTAATTTACCAAAGCCGGTACTAATTTAATAAAAGCGGCGTTGTTTGTGCGATTTCCCTTGATCTATTCCCCGTGAGATTAGTGCAGCTTCCTATTAGTAAGTAATGTACATACATCTTCGGTAACTTGTCCAAGAGTACAGGTTTTTAATTGGATTAAAGCATTAGATTGGTAATTAATTAAACAGCAGTAATTTGCGACAACAACAACGTGGAGACGAACGATGGAAAGTGACCTGAGTGCGGCATCTCTGACATGGAAAACTGCACTGAAGATTGCACAGGACAGGAAATCATGGAAAGTTCTCACTGAAGCCTCATGTGCCACTAAGCATAAAAAATAACTAATGATTGATGTAATTTGCAATGCTTGGTAATAGGTGTTTCGTCCCTTTTAGGACGACATTTTTTGTTATTTGAAGCCCCACCCTGGCTTTTGCCAGGGGTCGCAATATAGGCAGGCCATAAATATTGCCAATTGTCTGAACGCGGTTTCTGGGACCTCTCCACGGCGATCCTCATCCACATGGTGGCACTTTGTGTCATCGGGTGTTTATCGCTTGTGTGAAGTCCTAGTGGGGTAGAAAGTCAGTCGGTGTAATTTGCGGCAGCCTGCAAGGGATTTCGCAACCTAGAAACATTGAGCAGATATGTTTTAAT